TTCTCTCTCTCTCCTCTCTCACTCTCTCTTTAAAAAAAAAAAAAAGTTGTTGTGCTAGGCCCTTAATAATAATGGCTTAATGTATTTGATATTAAATGCATTTTATCATAAAAATGAATGCAATAAGCTGCTAACATTTAGTAAGCTCTCCTGTTAATTAAGAACTTTACATATATATGCCCTCCATATAATATCCTGAAAGATAAGTACTAGTTCCACTTCACAAATGAGAAAAGGCTTGGAGAAGTTGAGTAAATTGCTCAAAAATCGCACAGCTCACAGAGTAATAGGAATTTAGTCCCAGACCTGCCTAAATCCATCCATTACACTGCAAGGCCTCCCATAAACATTGTTTCTTCTAAAAAATGGACCAAGAACTCACTTTTTGAGATAAAGTTATGTTTATGACTTGATTACAGTATACTAATAAGCCAAGAAAATATTCATTTCTAGCATTATGTTCTCAATAATGAGGTTCAGTAGAAAAATTAGACTTTGTATTTGACAAAATCTGATTACTTTATTATGTGTATTCCTTATGGGTCACAGAGGCCAAACCTCTTTATAATAAAAAATATATATACACACATTACTATAAATATAAACAAGACTAGAAAACAAAAACACTCCCAAACCCTAGCTGGTGGTTTCCTAGTTATAACCATATAACTATAACTATAGTTATAACTAGTTATATTATAACTATATAGCTGATTTTTTACAGGGTTTTTACAAATTATGCATACATTTGTGAATATATACATACAATATTTTTGAAGTTTCTGATGGGATAAGCATTCAAGCATTCATGTACCCAGTTCTGTGTGTGTGTGTGTGTGGGGGGGTGGTTTCCTGGGTATTCAAACCAGGAGCAGTCTGTCTCTAAGCTACATCCCTAGCCCTTTTTAGAATTCATTAATTTAAAAAAAAACTCTAGTGTTTAAATTTTTTGCATTTTTTGGAACTGAACCCAGGCACACTTCACCACTGAGCTCCACCTCCAGCCCTTTTTATTTTTATTTTTTTTATTCTGAGGCAGGATCTTGCTAAATTGCCAATACTGGATTTGAACTTGTAATCCTCCTGCTTCAGCCTGCAGTGTCCCTGGCATTACAGTCTTGCACCACATGCACTCAGCTCATGCACCCAATTCTTTTGGAGGTATTCCCCAACATTTCACATCCAATGTAAGATTAATAAAGGAAGCCGGTGGTGGCCGTGGCTCAAGCCTATAGTCTCAGCAGCTTGGGAGCCTGATGCAAGAGAATCCCAAGTTCAAAGCCAACTTCAGGAAGTTAGCAAGACCCTGTCTCAAAAAATAAAAAGGGCTTGAGATGTGACTCAATGGTAAAGCACCCCTGGGCTCAATCTCCAGGGGAAAAAAAAAAAGCACTTTTGAAGGTGAGTGCAAAAGGTGTGCAAAAACACCCAAGACTGTTGTCAGAAGAGGTTAGCTATCCCTTCCACGAGATAACCGAACCCCGCCACAGCTAACCAATTAACTATACATGTGGTTTCAGTGTCATGCCCGGACACATGCCAACACCACCAGACAAAACAACAACGCCACTCCCAAAGAAGGTAAGGAACAGTTTCATTTCAAACTGCACTGCTGGGAGTATCTCTTCCCCTTAGGTTCCAAAGGAGCACCCAGCCAGGATGCAAACCCTTGGAGACAGGCTATAAGTGATTCAGATTTTAAAAATTAGAAAAGTTTCCCGACTTTGGGCCCAGGAAACCAGCAAACCCGGGGTCTGCAGACCGTAACTAAACTCGGGCGGTCGTTAGCTGCGCAAGTGACGCGGCCTTCTTGCGCCTCAGTTTCCTCCACAGTGAAACAGGACTTGTAAGAGCACTTTACTGGGCTCAGATAACTGCCCCTTAAGAGTTCAGCAAGCCGCGGTCGGTACACGGCAGCCGGCAGGATGCAGAGCTGAGGGCCACCAGGCTGGGGCCACGGGCGGGAAGCACCGGGCAACCACCGAGTTCCCAGAGCTGCCGCCGGACTCGGGCCGGACTCGGGCCGCCGCACGTCCCCACCCTCCAGAAACACCCCCCCCCGCGCGCGCCGCCTCCCGGGGACACCCAGGGCCGGAGCGCGCGAGCCTGGGGCTGCGGCGCCGAGGAAGGGGAGGTCCCGGGAGCGGCCCCCTCCCTGGCCGGCCCCTCACCTTCCGGGAACTCGGGCACCGAGAGGTCCTGCTCCCAGCCGTCCACCTTCTGCAGATACTGGTAGACCAGGTCGTCCTTCTCCTGCTGGGTGACGGCGTCCAGCAGCGCGTACTCGAGCGAGGTCTGCGCGGGCAGCAGGCCCGAGAGGCTGCCGCCCCGCGATGCGGGCGCCGCCATGTTCCGCGGGCTCCGAGGCGGCCCGGCTCTCCCGCCCGGCCCCGGGCTTCAGAGCGGCGTCTCCGCCTCGGCCCCGCCAGCCCCACTGACCGCCAGGCCCGGCTTTTCTTTTTCAAGCATGCGTTTCAACGCCAAAGTCCAGAGAGCCGCAACTCCCGGGCTTGTAATTAGGCTGCAGTCGCAGCCCACCCCGCCCCTTCCAGGTCCCCTCGCCGCGGCCGAGTCTGGACATTGAGAGCGCCAGATTCAACAGGGGCAAAGCCTGGGGTGGGGGGGCTTCTTGCTCGCTAAGGGACCCCTCCCCAACCCTCCATTTCGGAAACGAATAGGTTTCAAAACAAAAAATAAAATAAATAAGTCCATAGAAGTTAAAAGGGCACTTAAAAATCTTCATTTAGAGTCCCACTTTTAGACTAGGATCAGCCGATTCGACACAGCTCTGTCAGCGAGAAGCAGTTCCCGCCAAGGACCAAAGGTAAAGGGATAGGAATGTCCTCGAGAGAGAAAGCTTTTTAAGTTGGGAATGACTGGCCAGTGGCTTTGACTTGTAACCAAAAGCTATTTTGTGGCTCTGGGAGTGCTGAAAGTGCGGGCGCGAATAGACTGCCAGCCGAGCGGGCCGTGGGGGCGCGGAGGGCTTCTGGCGCAGCTGCAGCTGCTCGCTGGGTGCCGTGGCAGGTGGGTGGCCCCGAGGGACTTCTGAAGGGGAGAGATTTGACGGCAGTATTGGAGCTGGCCGCGCTTAACGTGGGGAGAGTTAAGGCCGCACTTGCTTCCTCGCAACCTCCAGAGTCCAAAGAGGAGGGTGGGAGGCCTCTGGCCAGACCAGAGGAGGCTGGTGGAGAAAGGGTCGCCCCCACGGCGGGACTCTACAGAGCCTCTGTGGTCTGGAGCGCCCGAGTGTGACCTCAATGAAGCATCACTACCCATATTTACACTTTGTTCACTGTTCAAGGTTTGTACCTTGCTAAAGGAGGAGGATACTTACTGGACGGACCCAGCAAACTGCAGATGTTGAACGTCCCGGAGTCACGGATGAGGACACTAATCACACACTTACTTGATGACGGTGTGTCAAGTTTCACTAGTAAACTGAGGTAGCCAGTTAGTGTTTGGGACACTTGCTGAGCTCCTTGCCCAGAGACTGTACCTGAACTTGTGCTATTTGAACAATTGCCCACTTGAAAGAGAACTGACAGTAACTGCATATAAGTTCTACAAAGGATTGTTTTAGGATATTTTCGAACCTATACATTCCATTAGGGCTTAATTTTCAAAGTATTTCTATTTTTATGAATCAAGTTCTGGAAAGGACCAAAATACCAGAATGAAATAACAGCCGCAGGTGAAAACTTTACAGGTGCTACTCCTGTGGTGGGTATTCTGAGTTTTGTTGTGGTATTAATAGAACAGAAGGTGTTCTTGGGCACAAGGTTTGTAGCTTGCCAATGTGTTAGTTGCCAAAGCTTTAGGTTCCCATTGAGTTAGTAGATTTTTCATTACATTCAGTTTACTTCTCAGCAAAAAAAAAAAAAATGTAACAAGTTTAAAAAACTTGTGACAAGAAATGGACTTGATTTACTAAAGATTAATGCTTCTTCAATGGTAAAATCATTTTGCCATGATAGAAGACATGTTTTCGGAAGAAGACATCTGGGAATACAAATCTAAAAGAAAACCAAAACTAGGACATCCAAATAATTGCTCTGAAAATATTCCAAAATCGGTTGAAAAAGCAACAGATGGGAAATGCCAGTCCAGACGAAAAGGAAACAAAAAGAGAAACAAAGAAGCTAAAGGAAGGGTGGACTGTGAAATGTGCTTTGGAGAAACCAGTTCCCAGACTCCTATATCTTCTAGTCAGAATTCAAGTTGTGGAGATGGTAGTCAACAGTCCCAAGACCAAGAGACCACTCCAGGAAGGCGCCAAAGAACTCAAAAGCTCAAGCAAGTGTCCCCAAAGCCGCGTCCAGTTCATGATGGGTACTGCCCGTACTGCCAGATGCCTTTTTCCTCATTGCTAGGCCAAACACCTAGATGGCATGTTTTTGAATGTTTGGATTCTCCACCATTGTCTGAAACAGGTAAGGTTACCAAAAGAGGCAAGAGTCTCTAAAAGGCCTATATGAAGTCAGATGTATGGTCTAAAAGGCCTGTATGAAGTCAGATGTGTCTGCACAGTGAAATGAGCAAGACAAGCAATAAACCAAAAGAAAGATGAGATACTATCTCAGGTGATGATATCATTGCAAAGAAAGTTACAACCCTGAAAACAGCTTTTTGTTTGTTTGTTTTGCTTGTGTGTGTTTGTATGTGTCTGTTTGGGGGGTCAGGGGGAGGTGAGGAAGGTAGGTAGTACTGGGCATTTAACCCAGGGAGCTCTACCACTGAACTATATATCCCCAGCCCTTTTTTATTATTATTTTGAGACACTGTCTCATTAAATTGCCCAGACTGATCTCAAACTTTCAATTCTTCTGCTTCAGCCTCCCAAGTCACTGGGATTATAGGTGTGCACCACGACACCAAACCTAAATACAGTTTAAATGTATTTTGACTTTTTCATAAAGGTGTCTGAACATCTCAATTATTTTTCATAAATGTTAATTGAACCCTTACTGCACTAGGTACTTTCATTCTTTATACTTATTTGACTCACAATGAACATATAAGGTAGGTGATACTGAAATTTTACAGATAAGGGCTCTTAAAAGTTAAATATCTTGGCCAATTTATTATCTTTTTGGGAACTGTATAGAAAATACATCCTTGTTTCTAAATATGATTGTGTTGTAGTCATCAGGCTAGTGTATAGGAAGGAGTCTTAGTTGATTAAGATGTAATAACGAAAAATGTGTCAAATAACTGAAATAATGCTATGTGTTCGTTATCTTTAAACTTGAAGGTCATATTTAACATGTAGAAAATTCTACTTTAAATATCTGAAGAAGGAGTTGAATGACATATTTTAAGGTCATATTTTTTTTAAGAAAAGATTATTTGAAAAGCAATTTAAAAGAGTATTTGATTTTAAAATAATAAATTGATAAATAGTAACTTGCAACATGATGCTGAATTGTATCAGTATTTTTATGCTGATCTCTTTATTGTGCAGTTAACAATAGCTATCCTTGGAAATCCTCAAGTCCTTAAAGGAGGACTGGTGGTTTCCCACTGGTAGGTTACTTTGTAGTATTGATACTGTCAAAACTTACCCTGTAATACTTTTTTCTTCATTGAAATTTTCAGAGTGTCCTGATGGCCTTCTGTGTACCTCAACAATTCCTTCTCATTATAAGAGATACACTCACTTCCTGCTTGCTCAAAGTAGGGCTAGTACTGATCCATTTAGCAGCCCGTCACATGCGGCAGGTGGGAGTTTCAGTGAGACCCAGCCAGGCTTTTCTTGTAGCCTAGAGGAAAGATGGTCTCTGCATCAGAAACAAACTGAGAACTTAAAAAACATTTCAAATGATCCCTTGTTGATGACACAGTGTCTAAAAAAGTCTCAGCCTCCAACTGAAACCAATAAAAAGATTTCTTCTACAAATAGTCAGATCTCGAAGCAAGCTTTACATTTTACAGCATTTGTTAAGAATGACAAACTGGTAAGAGCTGGTTTGCCTTTTGCTGGGGCAGAATTAGACAGCCACAACAACTCACAACGCACACATTTGCCATTGCCAGAAAATGACTTTGGCAGCTGTGAAATCTCCTATTCTCCACTTCAGAGTGACGAAGAAACTTATGATATAGATGAAAAGCTGGATGATTCACAACAGGAACTATTTTTTTCTGAGAGTTCTAAAGATGGCAGCCTAGAAGAAGATGATAGTTCTACCAGTTTTAAAAACCTCCCTGGTCCCTTCCTGAAGGACCTGGAGGAGAGCTGCCCCAAAGTGAATAGCTTCTTAACCCAGCAGAAGAACACTAAAGAATTGTGTAAGTGCAGTGCTCTAAATTCTTCTCAACTTAGCTCCCAAACAGAGTGTAGTATTTTATATGATGATCCAGAATATGCTGATAGACGGTTTTTATTGTCTTCACCTGCATTAAGAGGGGAGCCTGCTGCTTCTAATTGTCATACCACTAAAGCAAAGCCTGGTGAGCCAGACTTTCACGCATCTCAACCAAATAAACAGAAACAGGTGATTGAAAACCCAACTGTACCACTACTTCAGAGTAAGATGTCAGAACCTTTTGGAAGCCAGGGAAGAGAGTGTCTTCCTTTGACCCAAAGTAAAATTAGACAACTATCAAGTGAGAACTTCTGTACTAGAAATGATGCTAACTCACCACATTTCTGCAGAAAGGTATTGGATGGTATGCTAGATGGTGGCATTACAGTTTTGAATACAGGAAAAAAATCAAGTACACCTACTACTGCTAAGTCTCCTTTGAAGATATTGCCCTCTGATCCTAAGTGCAATGAAAGAAATCCTTCTACCAAGGTAATGAAGCAGATGGATATAGGTGTGTATTTTGGACTACCACCGAAAAGAAAAGAAGAGGAATCACTGAGGGAAAGTGCAATAGATGGGATGAACTTAAATCCCATTGTAAGTCCTAATGGAAAGAGGTCCCAGCAGTACAAGAGGAAAGCAGAAAAATCTTTAAGTGATTTAGAATTTGATGCAAAGGACTTAAATGAGAGTCAACTTTCTGTGGAACTGCCTGCTGAAAGGTCACAGCGGCAAAGAAAAAGACATAAAAAGTCAAATTCACCACAGGAAGGAGTACGTGGGAAGAGGTCAGGCCACCTTATTAACAATACAGAATTGGGAACAACCAATTCCATTGAAGACAATACCTTCAAAAAATCGGCTCATGGAAGGCTGCAAAGAGGTTACATGAGATTTTCGGACTCAGCTAATGCAGGGGAATTAAGAAAAAAGACATGTCCCTTCTATAAGAAAATACCTGGTAAGTTGGAACATCAGTGCTCAATTTATCAAAGACCCTCAATTTTTTAACTTAACATTCATTTTCTTATGTGTGTGTATATATTTATGGAAACGACTTGTGTACTCTGTGTTTGC